GTTAAGAACATCAGAAATTATTTTAAAATACAGTTATAAAATAATAAGGCAGTTTTATGATGAGGATCGATGATCCCGCTGGCATCTGCCAACATTAAGTTTGAATTCATGTGCACTATGAATTAATTTGTTTTAGTACACAAGGTACAGTAGGAACTTTTTTGTTGTAGTGGTTATACTTGATTTTTAACACTATATATGAATTCATATTTTGGAATATGTCTAATATGTACATGCATTAATTGAATTACAACAATTCAGATGGAGAAAAAATAATAGGTGGGAATAGAATGGAATAAAAAGACAATTCACAGTGTAAACATCTTTAACAGGTGAGTAGATTTTTGTTGCCTTCAGTGTAATACTGTTACAAATGCATGGCACATAAAAGAAAGCATAAATTATTACATTAAAAAAAATTACAGAGAGATTTAAACACTGGATTTAGGCTTCTGGGATATCAGCAGATGCCGTGTCCCCTGATAGCTGTTTATTGTACATGAAGTTGGACACCCCCCACCTCAAAATGCCCACTTGAGAGGCATCAAAGTACAATGATGGAAAAGTGCAGAACAATGAGAAAAAACAAACCTTAACAGAAACTGCTTCCTGCCAGTTGTTTGACTGCAGTTGTTATATTTTAATTTGTGTAAATTTTGTGTATCTTAATTTCAGTTGGCAAAAATTTATACTGGAAACTTCATTGAATATATTTCTACCTATGTAGAATTTGACAACAGTTCACAATAGTGAATTTTATTTTACAATAGTTCACATTTGAAATAAAAGACTTTTTCTGAGTTAGAAAATTCAGAGGGAAATGGACCCCAATTCCTCTTGTGTAAGAGCCACTCTGGCCTAATACTCATCTGGTCCAAGTCTTATGCGATGGGACATGCTGAGCCCCTGGGCTAGGAACTGCTCAAGGGATAATTCTGGTAGTTGTTTGTTTTGCAATGCCATTTGAGTCCGAACATCACTATATGACTTGGCTTTCTCTTTTTTTGACCCAATGTCAGAAGGCTAATTGAATAGAGCCTTGACTCGAAGGAAATTTTTTCTGTATTGCATATTCTTCAGAGCATTCTCCTCCCCAGTCGTTTCCCTTTGAAAAAAGTGGTTTTGAGGGATCCTGTGCTACCTGATATTTTAAGCTAAATTTATTTTACTACTTACAGTTGTCTCTGCTGTGACAGTTTCTGACATTTTGCTAATCTTGGCTTTAAATCTCAAAAGCGTTCCTTTGCCACATACCAACATGGTGCATTTCACATACAGGTGAAGCTTCAAGAGAGATGGAGTAGGGCTGTGTCTGGCACCGTATCAAGTAACTTCTGGGAGCAGAGCAGAGAACCCCATTTAGGCCGGAATGGAAGGATCTTGGGATTAGAACTCCCATATGATGAAGATAATGGCTTAAGCATTTGGATGAATAACTAATTTATGACAAGGCAAAACCTTTCATTAAATTAGTGTTTCTATGCGGTCTCCTGGGCCATAGCCTGTATGTTCTAAATCAGCACCACTTTTTCATTTTGTAGGTCAGTTACACAGGTATCTTCCTTCATTTTATATGAGAACTGATTGCTCATCTTCACACACACCGCCTGTCTTGTTCTCCAATTACATGATCCAAGAAAAAGTAGTTTTTTCTTTTTAGAGGAGAAGAAGGAGGAGTGAAGGTCCACTAAACAGATAGAAGAGGAAAGTAACCCTTTTTTTTAAATTTACAGAGCACAAATAAAAACTGGTGGCAGCAGCCCACAAGTTCAATGAAGTACAATGACTCAGCATTTAAATTATACATAGGATTTATTATTTTCTGTCATACAGAAATCAACTAAGGCTTGGGAAGAAAGCTTGTGGAACTATGCAACCATACAGAGATTTTGGAAACAGAAGGCTGTGTTCACAAGGAGTCATTTGGGAATATGGTTGCTGAGGCCCCAGCTAATTATCTAGGTTTGAAAAGCTGGTGGAAAACATGCACACACTCAGTTTGAGAGCTTAACAACCTCCCTGCCCCTCCCAAAGACTGAGTAGTCAAAATATTCTAGGTCCATAAAGCTATGAATTACAGGTAGTGATTCAAACTTTTCTCCAAATGCATCCCATTATACATATATCAGATTAATCTTGCTTACTAGAACACGATAATGCAGAAAATAGAGATTGAAGTTTCCATCTCTACCACAAAAATACAGGAGGACATTCCGCTACAGGTAGGAAGTTTGACTTATATGTGGGTCTCATGTTCATGGACATGAAAATTACCTCATTCTATGAAGGTAACAAAAAGCTTTTACACTGGCTACACTGAATCTGTCATATATGTATGGTTTGTGCTATTTATACTCATCTCAAGCACATTGATAGAATTCTACCAAAAGGCAGGATGACATGCCACACTCAAGGTTATAAAAAAAGTAAAGAACTAAAATGATTTAATTAAACACAAGTTAAGAAAATCACACAAATAACTAAATAAGGATTGCATAAACAAGGATGCTATAGATTTAAGTAACTTGGTAAGATCAATCTCAAAGCTGGCTTACACAGTTATAAAGGAAGTTACATAGCCAAAATTTTTACTCTGGTTATCATTCTTTCTTTTTTTCCTTGAAAATATCCAGAACTTTGTAAATGTGGATCTGATGTCACTCACGCTAATTTCAGTGGGAGCTGAGAAAAAGTAAGTCACTTTTACTTGTGTGCATAAATATAAAAACTGATGGACTACCTGGGTAATTGGGCTCAGTCCCCAAATTTGTACATGTGAGCCTCTGTTCAGTTTCACCAGAATATGCACTCACTCTAATCCAGCAAAGTTGCCTTCTGTTAACATACAAAAACTATTTCGACCATTGATACCCTTGTTAAATGTAGTTACTGAGTTATAGTTAACTCTCCCCAAATATTGAGTCTTCAGTTATTGAAGATCTGATCAGTATTCGTGTTTTACTGTGCAGTAGCAAAATACCTTTTGTTGCATGTAATGCAAAAAGTTAAGATTTCTTAGGACTTTGATTTCTCCAACAGTCTTCTGAGCTGGGAACTTCGGCAATAAATCAAGGAGAACAGGGAAGCAACTTAATGGAATTCCATTATTAATTATTTCATACTTTAACTGCATCAAAATGATTCATCAGCATTAGAACCTCTTTAAGTTGAGTACCATGTAAAAACACAAGTATGCACAGTGCCTACCCCCGGTACCCTTTCTGAAAAGTGAATGTTAACCTGAAAGCCAATCCACAAATGTTTAAGTGGATTCGCTCCCAAGTTTGTAGAACTGTGGCCTAATTGACCATACAGTATAGACTGCAACGCAAAGTATGAAAGGAAGGTCAAATGCAAGAAATAAACACGCGTGTGTACATGCATGCACTGTATAGCTTCTTCAGTTACTGGTTAACAAAGGTTAAAAAAAAAATATTAAACCCAGTATTTTTCCACAATTGATATCCACTTTTTATATAAATCACTTTCCTCTATTTTAACAGGTTTAGTTTCCTTAAACACACATAGTTGTAGTCAATAGGAAGCTTGGTTTTAAATTAGCCAAAGAATAGATTTGAGATGTAGTTTTTCCCAAATTGAACACATTAAAGCTTATTTTTCAAAAATAGCATATATAGCTTGTGTTCAAGAGATAGACCTGAAAACCAGTATAGATTTTCTGCAAGAGATGAAAGCTGCTAATTATATTGGATTTCAAATCTAAAAGCCCATTTTCATGGAATCACCAATTGTAATAAAGCTGCTACTTCTCATTCTATCTTTCGTCCTCAGTTCCTGTGTAGTCCCAGCAGAAATGTCATCTATCAATGTACAGATGTTAAATCACCCCAGTCATGAAACATTAACAGAATGCATACAATTATGACTCTTAAACTGAAGTCATTCTAGCAGCAATTTGTCACATCTACAATTGTACAAAGTTACTAGTAGAGTAAAACTAGAAAACTATGAAATAGATATATTGGAAAAATAGCATTTCTAGTACATGTATGGTAAACCCTGAACCTGTTTCAGCTGAAGTCAACAGGAGTTCTTCCTTTGACATTAGTGGAAGCAAATTAATGACTTCTTAAATGTCGTGGTTCTGAGCAACAGATGAACAACGTAATAGCAGTTCTTAATTCCTTCATGCAAATGTTTAGATTTTTCTAGAGCAAAGTAGAATGAGCATGCTACTAATTATTTTCCAGATGGCAAAATACATGTAAAGTTTTAAAATAGTCTCCTACAATCTGTACCTAGAACAGATGCTTTTTTTTTTTTTTTTTTTGGTAACATATTCCCTGCAAGAAACAGATAGACAATGCTAGGGGAACAGATCCTATGGACAGTCTTTGTGAGGAACATGGGAAGTTCTCTTCCCCTCTAGTTCCTCCAAAGTAGTAATAAAATTTGCATACTCAAAAATCAGTGTAATTTTGAAATAATTTAAATCCTTAAAAAGTGTGGAATAATATGATTAAATGTGTACAGTTCAGTCACGTATCATCCAGAACTTAAAAATATTGCAAGCAAGCTGTATTTCTTGTATTTCATTACTAGTCTTTTCCAACAATACCCAAAGTAGTTTTATTATGAGAATATTTTTATCTTAACTATTTCCTGTGAGCACTGTGTTCCTACCTGCTGACTTTATTACCATTTTACATGCTATGAACCTTGGTAAGGCTCTAGCAACCTGATCTAACTTTGAAGTTACCCTGCTTTTAGCAGGAGTTTGGACTAAGAGACCTGTGGAGGTCCCTTCCAGCCTGCATTTTTCTGTAGTTCTATGATTTTTCTGCAATTTTTTCTGTAATTCCATGATTCTACAGCAAGTTTTTATAAAAGAAAAAATGATGAATATATGGAATATCCTCTCCACTACCCCTGCCACAAAAGCAGATGTTTGTCTTACGCTCTTACCTGATCACTTGTGGTACCAGCCCAGACTGCCTGCTGATCTCATTTCATGCATACTTACCTCTCCTGGTCTTCACATTAGGTCTCATCTCCTCACTTCTTTTGCTACACTATATAAATATGGTATAATCTCATGCCTTTAAAAACCAAACCAAAATACATTATTAATTGATGTGCTTTTCTAATTGTTGCCTCTTTTAATGGTTAAGCTCAGTTTCCTTCCTAAAGTTGTTATACTCCACCAAACTGGCATCTGCCTGTGTTTCATTCTGAGGAAGCAAACATCTCATTTGATCACAGTCCCTAAGAACGTGTTCTTAACCACCCTCAAAACTGCTATTTTATATTCATGTGGCTTGTGAGCCATCTTCAATGAAGGCAACAGTGCACTTTTCCTTATATCCTGTCATCTTCATTTGGCTCCTGTCGCTATCTTTATTTCCTTTGCTTCCCCAATTGCTTTTTTGAGCAGATCATCTGGAAGGCCCTCCACTTTCCTCAGTTTCCTGTAGGGTTTCAAGTGTTTGGGCCTCTATTTCCTTCTCTTTTTGCTCCTCAATATGTCTGACTGATTTATTCCACAAATACTATTTCAGCTAGCATCTACATGTGAAAAACCTGCAAAGCTGCTTCTACAGTCCAGACTAGACTCTAATTTTCCAAGCAAAAAAAGTAATTATGCCTATTGACCTAACCTTTTGGAGGTCTAGCCTATTTTAATTTTAATACATCCATACATGTAAAACATCCTTCCTTATTTTTCACTTTCATAACCTGTCATTCAGGGTGGACAAAGCCAGGGTCGTTATCTTTAATTCTGATTTCCAAGTCCTCTCCTATAAATTTCACTGATACTTCACTAAATTTCTTGTTACCACCTGTAGGATAGAAACATCTTTACCCATTCACATAACAATCTCAGGTAAGCTTTCAGTATCACTTGTTCACTGCAACATTGTCCTCTCAGGCTTTGACAAAGCAATTTAATTGCTTTTACTCATTCAAAATACTACTGCAAAGGTAAATTCTTAAACATTATTTTGACTATGCCATCTCTTTCTTTAGTTTCTTCATTGATGCCCTTTCACTGTTTCATCAGATGTACGTACCTTGTCTTTAGAGGTCATTCAGGACCTCTTAATCACTGTTTACTTGGAGCCCATGACACTAGCTTTGATTGTTTCTATATGAAGTATTCAAACAAACCTTTATCCACTCTCACGTTTTGGATAACAGGCCAATACAGTGACAAAATCACTGTCAGGAGGCATGAGCAGGACTCCAGAGAACTCAAGTGACAGATACTGTTAAACAGGTAGCCACCTACACCTGCTTAAAGCTTGAACATCCTCCTGAACGAGGAGGGACTACTAAGCAAGGTCAAACAGGAAGAGATGGTTGATCTGGAATATAGATTCTTAACAGCTCATTCATTATCCAGCCTCCAAATCTCACCCGTCGATTTCCCCTTCTCATAACACATACAGAAGAAAAAATTGACAGTATTTAAACTGATGGTATGCTGAAACTGTTGCTAATCAGCTAGACAAATACAGACACTCTAATTTTACTTTTCCATCTATGGGGTTTTTTTTTGTCTTTTGTCTTAACTTGGATTATAACCACTCTGTGGGAAGTCTTTGTTTTTGTTCTGTGTTTGTACAATGTCTAGCCAGTGGGATGCTGGTCTGATTAAGCCTCACAGGCACTCTGGTAATGCGAATTAAAAACAATACTGCTTTTTATTCCTGCTACTTCTACAGAGACAATTTGCCTGTGGGAAGCTAAACTCTACAGCTGCATATGTACCAACTGAACAATACACCAAACGCACTGGTCTACTGCAAAACTACTAAAGGAATTGCAACAACATAACTGGGGACTTGGAGAGAGAAGCTAATTTAATTTTCATACAACTGGAAAAGTAAATGCAAATTAAAAAAAAAAACAAAACAAAACCCAACAAACAATAAAAACCCCCTATACATGACTGTATTTCATATGACAAACATGGAACTTTGTGTGCCACTTTCCAGCGTCACTTTTTCAGTTCAGCAAGAAGTTAAAAATATGGGTAAAGCAACAAACAGACAAAATGAACCCTTTTTTCCCTTTCTGTCACTTTTCCTAATCCTTTATCTTCTCCTTTCCATCATTTCATTTAAAGTGTGAATGCCCACTACCAGAATATCATCAGGATTTTGAAGTTGATTAAACTTTATTGTAAACAACTTTTACTTTAGTCTTATACATAGAAGTTGAGAAAACAGCATTCCTCAGCTTTCTGTAAGAGCTTCTCTAGAGTTTAATTTTTTACTATGGCTAATACTATAGTTCTTTCATTTATCCAAAAGATCCAAATACTATTAATATACCTTGTAAACTTGAAGGCGAAAAATAGGTTGTCTTGATGATTTGCACTCCTGAATGTTCTCACTCCCTCAATATGATGACTGTGGTGAATTCAGCATATCACATTCAAAATATTTTCAATTATAGTATCTCAGACTATTTATGCTGCTAAAAGGTAAGAGTAGGAGAAAGATTTTTATTATGAGACTGAACATCTTCCCTGAGTTTAGAGTCATACTTCTTCACTGACAAAAAGAGAAAGGAAGGCTTTCCTTTTTTTTCCTGCCTTAGTATTAAAGAATAAAACTCTTCCTCCATTTATTTTAGGGAAAATAAAACATCAATTTTAATTCTGTATCAGGAGTTCGAAGTGGCTTTCTAGTATTTTGCCTCAGAGATCTTTATATTATGTCAAATCCAGAGATAAGTCATAACTTCTTTAGTCATATGCTGGGGCAACTTCATATTTCCACAGAACTGAGAGTTTCTGACTACAAACAAAAAGAAAGTGGGTTTCTAAAGAAAATGAAGGTGCACTGTTGGAATTGTGCAAAGGCTTGCAAAACTGACCATATTATCAGTGATTACACTCAGCTTCAATCGTGCACTTAAATAATTTGTTTTAACAACAACAAAAAAATGTTAGTAGCCTTTTACTGCCATATGGCACCCACTTCTGAAGGCACTTTTGTTAATAACTAAGAGGAGGTAGAATACTTCCTGTTTAGATTTTAAGCTGTGTGAAAGACAAGCCCTACAACTTCCATAATGCAAATATCTTAGAGGGCCTAACCTTTGCAGGGAAAAAATCCCTGTATGTTTCAGAAGGAGTTCTCACTTGGTAAGAATTACATATAGTTTCTCACTCCTTCCCCATCGAATCAGAAAAGACAATGAACAGTCCTGTCCACACCCCAATTAATAGCCAAAAGCAGCAGGATGAGCAGTACTGAGAAGTATATCCTGTTTCACTTCACTCAATCAGAAGAATGGTTATGTTGACATTTAGTCTCAATAAAAGAGCTTCACTAGAGGCATTAATGAAGATGCAAGAATCCTGTTACCCCTCCAAAAATGTAGCATCTCTGATAACAAACAAAACCAAATTCCTGAGACTGTTGCTATGCCTCAGAAGGGTGCAAATGTAAGGAACTGAAACCTGACGGTAATTCCATGGCTTCAGACTGAGAGATACCTTTGGAGATATAAGACACACTGTTTTTTAGAACAGGAGCAGCATTCTTCCAACTCTTCTGAATTCATGCACTATGCCATTAAAAATATTTACTTAAGTATGTGCATTCCCAAGAAAGACACAGTGCTCTTCCTATAGCACAGACCCTCTGAAGTCTTATATTTAAAGGAAAGACAATTTAAAAAATTTATTGGAAACTTCTAACGAAGCAAACTAAAAATACAGAAATCAAATCTAGATGAAACAAGCTGCTCATATTAATAAGGCCCAAGGCAAATTCATGTTGAAACGTTTCCTTTGAACATAAGTATATGTTTCCATTGTTTAAAGCAGCATTGGCACACATCACCTTTCGACACAGCCAGTCTGAATCTTTATTGTTGTAAAATGAAGTCACCATATAGAGTGGGGAAAAAAAAGGAGGGGAATAGCTCTACTAATTGTGCAGTCACCTTTAAATTCTTGTTCAATGAGAATATTAAATGTCAGAAAGGAAGATAAAAGGGAGGGTGGAAACCAAGATTTTTCTTTTATGTCATCTAATTTTTCTAACAGTTCTAGAAAATACATGCTCAAAGTTCATTTTTAGAAAACACATACATTTAAGTCTTGAAAAATTATTGTAATTGTGATTAAATCTAGATTATAAATTAACATATTTACCTCATTATATCAGAAAGATTGCCTCAGTATCAAGAATTGCTCGTTCTTGACTGATGCAGTATTTCATTATTGTATGGAAACAACTCATCAAAAATAGATTTGGGTAATGGGTTGGAGTTCAGTTGCAAACAGTTGATCACCTTAATGATGGGTTTCCAGTTCAAGAATTGTCCATTCCCCTTGAGGGGATGAACAGTCTTCAGATGAAAAGCTTGCCACTGTAATGCTTGCTGAGGAATCATCAAGTGGAGACATTAGTTCAGTCCACCTACTGAATGTGTCAACTTGTGATGTACCCTGAGGATTTGAACCATCTCGTGCCAGAAACAGTGTCTGATTGATAAGACATTGTGCTAAGTTAAGGTCTTCAGGAACAGAGTTTTTGAAACCTATATTTGAGTCCTGCTCAGATAACAATTGCCTGAGAAGAGTCCAGTCCTGTTCTGCAAACTGCTGATCTTCAAAATCCACATCTAGAACTGCTGTTTCTGAATCCATCCTCTGCTCAATTGCTTCTCCAACATCCATCTCATATATTGGAGAAAGGGTTTTTGAAGGTCGATGCTCATACATGCAGGTTTGTGCCATTGTGTCATAATCATCTATGTCTCCTGAAATAATTCACAATACTGTACAATGTAAAAATTGCAGATGATCCTCCCCTCAGGGCTGTGCAGAGCAACATTTAACTCATTCAAGAAGAACAATCCAACCAGGTTAAAAAAAGGGGGGATGGAGGGTTATACAAAATTGACAAAATTTGAGGCATTTATTTCCTATATAAAAAACAAAGTATGATTTATAAATTAAGTTAAAGCAGCAATCACCACTGGTAATTAACAGTAACCTCCATAATTAAGTTTCTGATACAGAAAATGACAATGTAAATATACACTTAATGCACATGAAATTTCTCATTTACTACATAAATTAAATTTAGACCAGGAGGTGCATGGAGAGAATTAATAGAGAATGATTACTGAATGGTGACTTAAGCTATGCCAGCTTTGAAGAGAATTAAAACCAAAATTGTTTATCCACAGGCGTATTTCTACACTGCACATGCAAGGGCAGCTGCAGGCAAGGGCAAGCAAACTTAAAAAAAAAAATAGTACAACTTTTAATGTCTTCTTGTTCTGTGGTCTGGCTGAACATAGATCATCAGCAGCATTTCATTACTCTTGAATACACAATAGTTGTAATCAACACTATTGTATATTTTTGATGGGATAAACAGACTTAATTATTGGTATAAAGAAGACAAAACACAAAACTAGACAAGTATTCATCTAGCTACGTGAAACAAGTTAGAACTTTTCTGTATATAAGAATTAGTTGTAACTATAATCTCTCTTTTAGGAAATAAGTTTTACTGGTAAAATTTAGAATTTTAGACATCTCATAAGCTCTAAATCAGAGTTCACACCTGATCCCCCACTGATGTATGTGGCAAATATTCAGTTATATTCAGTGGGAGAAGGATCCAAATTTGTGTATAATATATAAATAAATAAATTACAACAATAATGCAATAATGCATATAGCTGTTCAGGTAAATAGTTCAGTGCGCTTTAGTTAAGGTTATTACTGTAGTTATTGCACATCCCATTCAGACATACTATATGGCGTCAAGCAGACAAAACAAATACTAAGATTCCATCAAAAGCTGGTGCTGTCAATGTTAGATTGGATCAAAAATAACTGAAGTACCGACAACTGCATCCAATCTTTCTTTTAGCATTACATAAAATCGTTTTTCTTGTAGTCAAGTTTCTCATTGAACAGCAGGGTATTGACGGATATTTCAAACAGATAAGCATTCTCTACCCAAGTGGAATACTTAAATATATTTAAATTTAATATAGTTTCAGCCAAAATTACTTCAGTTCAGGATTCAATCCCAGACAAATTGCCAAAGATTTCCCTATTAATTTATTTTTGAATGACTGAATGTTTCTATTTCTGTACATTACCTGTAAGTAAATCAGTATTAGCGCATTCAGTAGTTGCTGGTTGACTGTCTCTCACTTGACCTTCCTGAGTCAGTATCTGATTCTTACTGGCTTCTATAGGTTTTGCAGAGCTGCTCTTTTGCGCATCAGAATTCGTTTCTCTCTGATGAAGATCCAAATGACATGGTCTTCCTTGAGATTTTGCATCATTGTCTAAGTATTTATTGCACTGGTGAATTTCACTAGCCCCCTCATTCTTCATATTTACTTCTTGGTTTTCTCCTGGACATGGACTAGCTGCTGAATATTTCTCTGGGCAATTTTGTTCAGTCATTGAAGCACCTTGACTCTCCTTCCCTGGGATTTCAGTGCCATGAAGATGTAGGAGAGAACTTTCGCTTTTATCCGATCTACTGTCTCTATCCTTATGCTTTTTGCAATCCAGGAATCCATCTTCAATTTCCAGTGAGTATCCTGAATAGAAAGTCTTTCCATGGTGCTCTTGAGAAACACTGTCAAATACTTCTGAAGGAGTAAGAGAATCTATTGAATGCTGACGTGAAGTATGAGTTTCCACTCTATCATCAGATCCCAATTCTTCACATTCATCTACTGAAAGTAAAACAGATCGTTTGAAACTTTTAGTTTTAGAAAACTCTTGACTTGCAGTATCATTTTCAGTTGCATCTTCAAAAGCTAAGTTATCAATTCCTTGGAACTGCTGCGCAGGAACATTTGATGGAGGAAAGTTTTCTGCAGCATTCTCTGCTTCAGATCTGTCATCTTCTGTTTCATCAGCAGAAGAAGAAACTTGGTCTGCTTCCTGAGTAAACTGTGCATTACCAAAAGTAGAACTTTTGCCATCTCTACTATTGGTCCTCGCACTTTCTTGATGGGACCAGATTTCAGGTCTTTTTCTTGGTATTTCATCATCACTCGTTGAGTTAACACGGAAGAGATCAGAACCCTCTTTTTTCATTTTCACTTCTATTCTTAGGCTGCTGTCATAAATTTTTAATTCCTCAGGTGTACTTGTGTCACTGCTGCTTCTTCCAAGAAAATCATGGCATAACATAGTGCTGCATTTAGAAATCCCTCTTTCATTGGATCCTTCATCATCCTGAGAGCCTCCTGCATCATAATCTTCTGATCTTGGTTTTATATCATCAGAGGATGTGGTTGCACTGCCAGTATCTGATTCGGGACTCTCTTTTGGATCTAGTGCACCAGTGCTCCAGTGGTCCACAAAGGGAATTTCTGCATTTTCATGGTTTTCTGGCATTTCTGTAGGATCTATAGGCTCTGTGTAACTGGGTGAACATTTTTCTGTTATTTGTTCTGTGGAACATTCTGAAACATCATCTAAATCTGCTGTAACTGATTTGTATTCAGTCAAGACTGATGTATCACACAGCTCATCAGCTGTAAGAAATCCCTCCATATGAACCTGAGGAGATGATGTCTCATCTTCTTTATTGGTAATCATTCTGGAAAAGCTTGGTAAATCATTTTCACCATAGTTAAGACCTGTTTCAGAGTTTAATATATCACTTTGTTCAGTACAAACTTTTGTTGCTTTTAAATGTTTCACCAGGTCTCCTGAAGCAGCAGCCTTTTGACTGGTTTCCTTGGGAAAGTCTGAGTATCCATCCCTGCAAGACTGTGCATAACAGTGAAATTCAGCTGTATCATCATCTTTCTCTGTATCTTCAATCTGTTTAATTCCAGTCCGATCTCCACAGACTTGTCTTGCTTCTATTTCATTTTCCAGTGAAACATGGAGTTTAGAAATAGTTTCTTCTGTAATTAGAGGAGAGGAAGATTCAGATTGTATTTTGTTTTCCACATTTTCAGAAGGATCTGATAATATTTGTTTATTTGGTTGACAGGATGCTAGCAGTTTATCTTCGCTGCTACCTTCTATCACAGATTTCAAAGATTCACTTTGTTTTGCAGAATAGCATTCATTATTATCATGAAGTTGACCTGCCACAGCATCAGTCATGTTTTTTTCAAGTTTGTGTCCTGAACTTCTGTGCTCAGAGGTGTGCGCGTTCTTCTGGATAACAGGAGATTCACTCCTTGGATGTTTTTGGGCAGAGGACTGAGATTTTAATACAGATTGCCCAGCTGTTTTCACCTTGTGGTCTTTATTACTCATAATCTCAGCATTTTTTGATGGAGCCAGAGTTTTAGATGTTATTTTTGCAGTGGCTTTTGCTACAGGTGTTTGCAACTGCTTAACACTTTTCTTCTTGGCTGATGAATGTTTTTCTGGGAGTGTTGTCTGAACCAGATGCTGTAACACATTTTTTTCTTCATTATGTTTTGGAGACATTCTTGATTTCAGTGAATTTGGCCATTCCCCCTGAGCTCCTAACAAACAGTAAAAAAAAAAGACTATAAAGATTGTATATACCAGTCAAAGTATATTCACCAAATTTATGTTAGTGTTTGTTTCCGTTGAGAAGCAAGTTACTCAACTATTTATGTAACTAAGGGATTTAAGGCTTATTAAAGAAATAAGATTTGAGATCTTAAACAAATAGTAGAGAAAAATACCGTTTTGCATGTACATGTCATCTTTAAAACTGAAGCACTTCATAGACTATACATAAAGGAATTATTTCAACCTGTAAGTAAAGCAGTCATCACTGGAGTAGAAAGCAGCAGCTATCCAATAGTGCACAGAAAGACTGCACAGCATCTTAGCGCAGGAAGTGATGAGTACTGTATTCAATTTATATTTTAGAGGAAATTAAAGTAGGCAGAAAATAATTGTATTAGTTATAATGTGATTAGAATACCAGAATTAATGTCCCTGCTTAGTCAGAAAATACTGCAAGATCTTCAATGACCACAAACTGACAGGACCTGTGTTTTCTGTATCATAATGCATTTAAGATAACATAACTTGAATATTCTTTCTGCCACCAGTAAGCGCCAATTCCAAATGGGATTAAAAAGACCTCCACCCTTAATACTTTGTTTCTCTATAAAGCAGGGCTTCTTCCCTGTGCTCTACAATGTCATCTCCCACACTTGCTATAAATAGCTGTAAAATCAAGTATTGGTTTGTGGGCTGGGTCAGTAGTGCTGCAGCTAGGGGACCATCAAAAAAGGGAGGCATAAACTAGCAGCTCATAAAGGAGTCTGCAGTCCAGATCTTTGATGCATATAATAAATGCTTGACCTACAGAATTTCTGTTGAACTCAGTCATGGTTCCAAATACAGAAGTGCAGGGGATCAGCAAATAAAAGAGACTGCAAAGCAGATGTAAATAAGCAGAAGAAGACACCGATTGGTAGTGAAGATAATCTTTTAAACATTCTGAAGTTGACACACATTCATTTACATCATACAGTTTAGGATTGTCACCAAAAGTGAAATATGGAAAAATAAACACAATTGTTCAGAGGATTTTGCCAAATGCTTGTGCTAAAAAAAAAAAAAAAAAAAAACCACAAAACGGCAGACCGTTTAATTTCTTAACGAAACTTTACCTTGGTTCTTGGGAGAATTGATAGGTGTGTTTTGAGCCTTTTGCTGTGTTGCAGAATTGCTACTCATATTCCCTTTCTTCTTTAGAACAGTTTGTACATTTTGTTCATTACACACTTTTCCAGTTGATTTTTTTGTCAGACTGCAAAGAAATTATTATATCCATTACTTCCAAGCTTAAAATCTAGCAATGTTTAATTACATTTAAACAAACAATATATGAATTTTAATACGCACAAATATGTAAACATTGAAAATGCAGCCTAAAAGGTATACTTTTTGAAAATAAAACCTACATGTGTATCTATCTATCTACACCCATACATATAAATGACCCATTCACAATTTCACAGTGCTTCAGATTAATCCAGTTTAATCTAAACTATCCCAGAAATGGTAAATTTACAACACCTTGTGTAGTCATTAACTGTTCCAGTATGCAGAATTCTGAATGACCTATAACAATTTTAAAATGATTAGCATGAAACAATCCAACACAAAAGCCAAACCAATTTTATCTTTACAGCAATGTTTCAAGTAGCTAACTCATATTGTTTTAATAAAAACATGCAATAAACAACCATTCTCAGATTAAAAAGAACACATTGACTGAACAGTAAGTTTTTCTGAAACTTTTTTCACAAAAATAAACACACACACACACAGATATACATATATATGTAAAGCAGAATATTGATTTGTAATGTACCTGCTTGTTGTGACATTAACCTCAAGCTCAGTCTTTTTTTTTTGTTGGTGACTCCGTTTGATATCTTCACAGATGACTTTGTTTTCACTATTGTAAAGTAAATTAAAAATTAATTATAGAGGGAAATGAATTGAATGTAAGTATTGAAAAGATTCTAATATATGAAGATCAGCTATTGAAAACAGCATAGATGCTAAACTTTTAAAACTTTTACCATTTTATATGGCGGTTGATCATAAAATGAAGTCAGTTAATAGAGGAGAAATTTAATATTTTTATCTCAAGTTAATAGTCATTTACAGGGGAAGAAAGTCACTCTTAGCAATCTATAGTAGATTTTTTTAAAGCTTTCCAGGCTGTTTTTTCAGTGTATGATCAACCAGGGACAAATCAGAAGGGGACTTTTAAAAAAAAAAAAAAAAAAGAATTACCAGTCTGTTTTTTCCCTTCCTCTACCAATTTATCTTCTTTGGGTTCCTCTGTCTGTTCACTAGCAGTCTGGATATCTATGTTTGAGTTTGCTGACTTGCTGGAAGTTCCTGCCACAATCACTGAGGAGGGAGATTCCTTTCCTACGTTTTTTTTCAAAGGTTTTGTTTTGATCTGCATGCTTGAGGTTACTGTCAGCACTTTAGGTCTGGCACCTGCAATTTTTCCTTCATGGTTCTTTAGTCCTTTGCAACTTCCTGAATTTTTTTGTCCACTTGTAGATGATGTCTTTTCTGTATCTTGCTTGGTAAGCATGCTTTCAGCCTTCACATTTCCATTATTTTCTATTTTTGTCTTTATAACAGCTCTAGCCTTTGGTGAAGCAGCTTTTTCCCCAGGTTTTGAATCCTTAGTAATCTTGGAAACTAGTTTTTTGCCATCTTTCCCCTTTACATCCTCATGCTTTGAAGCCTTATTAACAGCATTTCGATTGGTGCTGGATGTATGTCCAGATGCTCCTAATCCATCAGATTTCATTTTATCCCGATTAGTGGAAGAATCTTCCCAGCAGTCTTTCTTGCTGTGTTCTGTCCAGGAAGTATTACTTATACCAACAGATTCAGGAATAGATTTGTTTAGCTAGAAAAAAAAAACATCAGGAAAAGAAACAAAACAGAAGACATTTATAACATCAAACTATCCATAATCTTTCTTTTCTGAAAAACAGCTGCTTTTAAAGTGGTATATGAATCTAAAACAACAAGATTCAGCACAGAAATAATTTTTTAAAAATTCAATTTTAGCTCAGATTGATGGCTTTCAAAGATCTAAAAGTACCAGAAATAACTAGAGTGCTTAGTAAATCTCATGTGAAATACTGTTCTATACGGAGGATATAGAAATATCTAAGTAGAGTTTAATTTTCACTTTGGACAAATTTCTTGGTAATATTTATTTATATTAATAGTGTCTGTTGAAGTAAGAAAACTTTTCTGAGTAATATGTGCATATTTTCCAAAGAGGAATAGACTATGAATTATTACAAACATAACCCAAATATTTATAATACATGTGATGTTTTTAACTATTACCAACAGTGTATCCATCCGGTAAGTGACAATAATAATTCTCTCCTCAGGTAAAGATATATACTGAAACATGGAAAAGCAAGTGCATTAAATGGAATCTTTGTGATGCCTGTGTCATTGCAACATATCCAAGACCTTCAAATCATGTGAAAACCATACTGGTTTTCTACCAAATAGTAATATAGTTTTGAGTATGACTCTCAACAGCAGAGCTGTTAAGGACACTAAAAAATATTTTTCCAGGTCAGGGAGTGTAACAGACTCAGTGCTGTGGTGTCTTGTGATAATAGCAGATATTCATTAGCTCAGTAGCAAGCCATTTGCTCTGGGAAACAGATCAGTTTCATTACGTAGCAACAAGGGAATGTGAGATTCTGAACACAAATTCCTGTCCTTTATTTGAGCTTATCTGTTTGAAAATGTAGCAGAGCATAGGCTGAGTCCTAAGATGTTTCCAGTAATGGAAATTACTGATTCTGCAGAAATAACAGTTCACAAAAAAATATAGTTTTTCCAAAAGTCAGTTCCATTAAATAATATGACAAGTTAATATTTAATTTAAAACACATGATGAAAATAGTTTTGTTTGCAAGCTTCTGGTATTTTTAATGTTTGGATATAAACGTTTACCTGAGAACTAGTGAATACAGGTTTTTTGCCAAGTCTTCGGTCATCACCCTTGTCAAATGCAGCTGTATAAGGAACAAGGAGTTTCTTTATTACTTAGCAGGAAAGAAGGGAGACAGAAAACAATCCAGCCTACTCAATTAACATCATCTGAAATCAGAAAGCAGTTCTTAGGGTCCTGTAATTATTCTAGGAAGGCTAATTTTGGTGACATGGCAAATGTTAAGTGGAAATACATGGTTTTATGTTCAGAACAAAAAATGTGGTATCTGTAATGAGGTCACATGGCCATAAGCAAGTTGGTTAACTCTTTGTTTCCCCATTTCCATAGTAAGACACACTTTTGTTTATCCAAGATTAGCTCACTTAAAGCTTGCAGCGCACTGAGACCTTTGAAAGTACACAATTTACAAAAAGAAAGACACTTTCAAATTTAGAGTACTAACGACTTTAAAGTGATGTACTGTAATTTATAGAACATTTAAACTATTTACAGAATAGATGAATTACATTAAATTATATTAATTTTCGAAAGTGGTAAATCCAAAATACCTAAATGTACACAGTAAGGTCATAGTGCCTCTTCAGATAGCGTGCAGTGTAATGTCATGAGAGTTATCCCTGGGATTGTCATGTGGAATAATGCCCTTTTTTTTTTTTTTTTTTTTTTGAGTGGTTTACTCTGGGAGGGAAACATTTTTCAATAAAGCCTTTAAATCAACTGCGCTTCTAGGATACAAAAAGGATATTTATAGATACTGTACAGACCCAGAATCGATAAGGTTTCAGTTTTGGTTGTTATTAATATTTCAGCTGAAAAACGGTTTTGCAAAAAATGTATTAAAAAATTTAACCATTCAGTGCCTCACATTCTGACACACTATTTATACATGGATAAATTTTTTGTATGTATAACACAAAAATTCTGCTAAATTCTTACTGAAGATACTAAAAAATAATTTTTATATAGGTCTGTAAAAATCACACAAAAGGTATGCTGAAAATGGCACCCCAGGGATCTAATCCTTTTTCTAGCAATGACTCTGCACAATAATACATACCAATATATTAAAACAAAATCCATATAAACTTGTGCCTAAGAAAACACAAGATATGTTGTGAATAAAAAACCCCCACAATATCTTCTGTCTTCTTTTGGCATTTTTCCGCCTCTATTATAGTCTTCTAATTCTATATAGGTTAAATCCCTAGAAGATAAATGACCATCAGGAATCTTTAAAATTAAAGTTGATTTCAGTTATCCTAGATGTATTTCACCTGAAGATTAAAATTTGTCTACAAGTATTGTGTGATTGCTTTGCCTGTAATTGAAAACAGATAATTTATGCAAACATTTTAGCCTGTCTGTTTACATATAAAACATATGCTAGCTCTGAGTTATAATTTAATTTAAAAGAAAACAAAACAATTTCTGGCAAGATGGAGTTTGGACAACTAAGGCACACCTCAGTTTTAAATACTGTTTTGTATTGAAAACACTAGTGCAAAGCAGCCTAAACATTATTTACAATAAGGACATGATTGTCCTAAAAATAAAATGCCCCAAAACAACAAAAACCCCACCCTTGTTTCTAAAGCCAGCTCCTCAGCTTCTGAAGGATTTTGTAATCCAGAAAGGAATCGTAAATCTGTTTTATGCAGTGAGATGTTATTTGACTACATCCTTAAATCATGCTTAGAAAGACTGTCACTGCATCCTTCTCTCAACATGTAATTGTAGAATAAAATGTTCATCGACCTATAGGTGTAAACAGTTTTATAACTATCATATCCTAGCTACTAATGTCTTTAACAAAAAGGACATAAAAATGTTTATTTCTCCTTTGATCAAAAGTGATTTGATTTGAGAGAAGTCTTCAACACATTCTTTTCTTTTATAACGCAGTACTGTCAAAGCTAATATTCAACCATAACCTGAACTCCATCATCAGTTCCGCATCCTCAGAATACTTGTGTACTTCAAGACAAAGAAACGTTCAGAACAAAAACTCCTTTTTGTTGGAAGTGCTATCTGTTAAAATTTTGAGAGAACACTATGCAGCTCCTTAGGGGCTCTCTGCAGTAGCATACACAGTATCACAATACCAATCAACTGTGAAGTCAAGCTATCTGCATTTATCACAGTGCACGAGATAAGCATTATGCAAGAGACAAGCAATATTTAAACACTATGGATAAAGGATAGAAACTGAATTCATAGAACGGATAAGCTGCTTTGTGCAAATTTAATTCATCCACAGTGCTCATCTCCTTAAAAATGACAGAGACAAGGTTTTCAAAATCCTCCTGCAGTATTTTCAGTAATTTAGAGTAGCTGTAAATAAGAATCAATCTACATGGTTTTGGCTCCTATTATATACAGCCTTAAAAAGAACAGCAGAGAAGACTTTTCACAGAACATGTCTTACTGATTTCCACGTTTGAAACTAGCTAAGCATTCTGACACGCTTCTATTCTAAAATACCACTTCAAAAACCTAAAGCATCACAATTTTGCTTTAATTGTTATCTGGCTCCACAATACCACCTACATTTTATCTACTAAACAGATTGCTGAAAATTTCTACTGCCATTTGATGCCTGACATACCTGCTTGTATTTTATGTTGATGGTCTGGCCTCATCAGCTTCCAGCTTTCTGTGTGACGAACAGCATAAAAAGACTGAACCAGGAAGACCCAGAGCTTATCACGCAGAGCCTGGATCTTGCACGTAAAACCCTGTGTTCAAGTAACAAATCAGCAGCTGGCGAGCGGCACATTGTCATAGCAACCAGTCATTATTCCTTTCAGAATCTACTTACTCCCTAAGCTAGATCAATGATGTCATCACTTAAATTTTATAATGGTCTGGTAGATGGGAGATACTGTTTTTGAAGGATTATTGCCTACCACAGTAATTTTTTACAATATTTTAAAACCAAGGCATACTACAGCACTAGAACACACTACATTGCCTTTTCTTCTTTCCTTCCTTTCTTTTTTTTTTTTTTTTTTTTTTTTAAGAACCCTGTAATAGCTCTTTACTGTCAGCTGTGTCACAACAAGGTCAAATACTCTAGGGAAAAATAATGTATCTGATTAAATTTTCATTGCTTTTACCAAGATGATCTACAATAGCACCAGATTGCAGTAATTCATTTTGCATTTATTTTTCTTTCTTTGCTTGTAGCTTAATTCTGGATTTTAATCAGAATGTCATACTATTCATAAATTACCCCCAGCATTACAGTCAACCACAGCTTAAATATCATTGTTTAGGTTGTGCGGATATACACGGTATGTTACACACATGGAGACTGACACCTCTCTCCAAACCAAAACACACACACACTAGATTAAGGGTCAGTCCTTGAGAGAACAGTCTTAATCAAAAGCAAATGTAGCTGTGACTTTTACAAAAAGGGGGGCAAAGATACACAGAGAAAGAGAATAAACTCTTTTCCCCTGTAAGTTTAAGGTAATGAAAGATTTTGGTAAGTTTTTTCTCATCACATGTTTAAAGTGATAGCAAAGATTAACAGAGTGGTGGTGCCCACGGGATTTACATTCTCAGTAATACATGATAATTTTTTTATTGCCATAGATAGGGTTCCTCTTTAAAAGAAAAAATTGTTAATATCCAGTAACCAAGTGGCAACATTTTCTGTACTTCCAACAGGAACATGGATTTATGCTGATGCTCTTCTGTGACCCCAACTGTGGGACTGAGCCACCTGAGCTCAAACCACATAATCTGATTTGAACCATTACATGAAACAATACCAAACAGTTTTTCCTACAAACACTGCACACTGAAAAACCTACCATCTCCTTCACATTTGTGGAGTCCAATAACGTATCCACAGCTACAAGAAGAAAGCAGCTATTTTCATTATTAATGCTTTTTTCAACTGCATTAAAAATTAGTTCTAGAAGGTCAGGTTTGCTGCTCATTGCCTGTGCCTGAGGAAACAACAAAAGGCAGCCATTTAAAACAAAAGAGTGTACTTCATATGCAAAAGCGTTACTGAGCAGAGAGGATCTGCTGTCACGCTGTGCAGGAGGTATTCCAAAGCCGAGCATCTTCTTTTGTACCCATTCCATAACCCCACCCCTCTCCAGGCCTCTACAAATCATCCTGAGGCCTCTCACTAACCCAAATTTTAGAAACAAGAATACTGTGATGAATTTACAGCCACATGCAACTCTAGATTTAAAGACAAAGTGTTTTAACATCTCCCTACTTAATTTTTTGAATCCTCTATACGTATTTAAAAAATCTTTCATGGGAGAAATGAACCAGCCAGATGACAAGATATGTTCTCACCAGGACTGGCAGGATTTCCACATTCTTGCGACTCGCAACACAAATCAGTAGAAGTTTGAGTATACTGCTAATACTCATAAGTACATGCTATTGTTCTAGGGGTCCAAAAGCTTTTTTGAAGCTTATGTATATACTTACCTCTTTCCGACACAGAAGCTGTTCCACTAAATTAATTGTAACTTTTGCTTAACTAGGGCACATAATCTGAATGCAGTATCAACCCTGCATATCAAAGTATTAATGTGTTTTAAAACACTGAAAAAAAACCCCACCCCCAAAACCAACTTAGCACTGCCTAATTTTTTTTTTTAATTATCCATTAAATTGTACTTAAAAGTTGAAACTATTTTGATTATTTAGCAGCCTGAACTATATAAAGTGAAATATAATTCAATTTATTTGGAAGCATACAGTAACTTGAGGGCACTTTTACCTGCAACAACATAGAGAAGCCTTCACTTTGCACTACATGTAGAAAGTTTGCCACAATAAATGTTACGCATTCTTCTTGCAGCCTAGATGCCAAGCCCACAGCTGCCTCTGTCCATTTCACTTGGGGAAGACTATTGATCAGCCGGTCACTCTCCATCAAAAGGAAAGCAGCATTCCTATGGTTCTTAAAATGAAAACAGAAATCAGCCTGTTGCCAAGTAATCACCTAAGGCATTGATGCTCATAGATAGCTTCTGTTCAGTTATTGAACACTTACACAAGGATCCAATCATGCATTAATTTCCCTTCTTTAAATAAATTTGGATTTTGATAATTCTGAACATTATAAAGCAGAAAAAGAAAAATCTACTGCTTCCATTTTGCCTGCTGAAGTTAGGCAGTAAAGTTTTCAGTAGCTTTTATTGTATTTTTTCAACTGTGTATCATAACATACTGCACTTCTGAACAAAATAAGGTAAATGTTAACCGGAGAAACTGAACAGAGAAAAAACAGCTAGGTCACTCAAAGAGGTAATAAATTCTCAAATAAAATGGGTAAGCAAAAGTTTTAGGTGAGTGTGGATGGCCTAGTGTTCAGGATTAATAAATACCCAAGCATTTCATAGTTATGAATCCTTTTGCTTCATTTAAAGAAGTCAGACATCAAATATTTGTCTTCCTAGAGGGAGTTTTAACTGAACTTACCCTCCTTGTTGTCTAATGTTTCTATAAGAAGCATAACTTGTATTTACAGTCACATCTAAAACAAACAAACAGATTTGCTAATATTTATTCCCCTGGCCTGGGCCTTTGGTTCTTTTGTGCACTGCATCAGCGCAGTACCTAAGGGCAACTTCTACTGGCTAATACATCACTTAAAAAGAACTTGAAATTTATTGTTATCCATATTAGAATGGATTGAAAGCTCTACTCAACATGACCTAGCAGGTCTCTGATAAATTATGCAGCAAGATCAGTAACACTGGAGAAAGCAACAATTCAGATAAATATTTCACACAAAACTCCCAACTGTAAATTCAGATTATAATAATGTTTGTCCCATGCTAATTAGAAAGCAGGGAGGATTTTCTTCATGCATATTATACTTACAACATAAAACCTGACCAGCCATTGTTCAAATATATGTTTTTTATTATTTTACTTATCTGTGGGCAAAACCAGTTTGCTTCTATTCATATAAGGTAAATTAAGGATTAAGTATATGGCTATGGTTTGGTCCTGCTCCCACTGGACCCAACTACAAACTTTTTGAATTGTCCAGAATTCAGCCCCTGCTCACAAGGCAATAAGCATTTACTCCCATTAGACACTTGCAATGAAATATAAAATGCCTTCATTGACTTCTAATTAAATCAGCACTTTGTAGGAGTGGCTTTAACTGAATTTTACTTCTTTTGTTATTTTTTCCTAACCGTTCTAAAGTGGAGTCTACTTATCTAAAAAGACGGTAAGTTTCTTGAATGTAGTTGAGACATCTGGGATAAGTACCTGAACAGTGTTTTGAACTGCACTCCCATTTTAATGTTTCTGTGTTCATCACTGTGGCTTCCCAAAGATTTTCTGATCAGCAATCTCATTTTCTTTGTACCTTTTCTTCCTCTAAAGGGCTGCCCTACCTTAACTAGATTTTACATTTCCAATATTGGTAAATGAAAGGATCAGTAGAGACATACTGTTTAACTGGGTGTAACTGTTAAAAAGTTTTACAGCAGAGAACTGTAACAGCAGAGAAAAGAGGATCTTAAAACATACAGTAGCCCCTGCAGAATTAGCATCATACCTTTTCTTCTTTCTCCCTCAAGCAGCCTTAAGCGCTTTTGCAGACTGTCAGAAACTCCATTGGGAATCTCACAAGTTTTTGGACTGGGCGTCTTAAGAGCCCAGAGTTAAATGACCACTCACCAGAACTGTTCTGTGGGCTGAAGAGGCTTATGCTTTATTTTTTAATTTTGCAATTCTAAATGCTTTCTAGGCTTCAATGCATAAAATATTAGTGAATCTTGCAAAGACACACCAACATAAATTTTAAATCAGTAAAATGGGAACCGAAACACACTTTATCCCAGACTGCAAAAATCTTTCAGAGAAGCTGGGTACAGAGCTGGGGCAGTACCAAGTACCAGTGTGCCATGATGGTTCTGCAAATACTGGCAGCTTAAAGATAGCTCATGTACTTCAACACAGACTGTAACCACGGCATGTTGATATATTATGGTAGTCGCAGAGGAGGTAAGGCCTGAAGTGGCTTTGGTTTACCTTTAAGTTGTCCTGATAATTTTGCACAAGGGTGCCTGGAGAGAAGCCTAGAACTGTGTCTACATACGTATGTACATACCTACGTATCTGAGCTAGTTTGGAGATGGGTGGTGGTGTAACTATGAACACCTGTAGATCAGAATGAACTGATCTATAATCCTGAAAATGTTACTTAAAACTTCTGAAGTATTTATGCAATATATGACATATAAAGCTATGTATAGATTCTAGGAACAACTGAGTATATTGATCTGATATAATGGCAGAGCACCTAGTATCTTAAGAGCAACAGTCACTATCTTCATTCTGTTAGAAATTATGCATTCTGACAGAAGGACTGTTCAGGTTTTATAACTGTGGATACTCTTAAGCTTCTCTTGGTACAGTCACATAGCTCTGAAATGTCTTGTTTTTCAGGCTTTCACCTGAATATGCAGTAGCAGCCACCACTCAAAGTTGATTTGCTGGCCTCAGCACTCGATGGGGTAAGTACTCCATCAAAGAAGTCGTGAGAAAAAAAACAGTCCCAAGAAGCCTTCACAGCCCTTGCAGCGAGGGGCAGTTCTTGGCCAGAACCATTTAAGAGTGTATCTCTTGATCTCTTGTATGTTTGGCAGCACGGGCAGACATACCAGAGCTATTTAACTTGGTTAACAACAGTAACAGAGACAGGGGGACAAGGACTTCAGTACGAGATATAAGATATCACATACTTAACTGTCTGGTGTGTGCTAGAACCAAAGTCACCCTGTGAATGTTGCCTGAGTTACATTAAACTCTGTGTATGCCAGTCCACATTACAGTCACTTACATACACAGTCACACTTGGCAGCAGCTGCACAAGTTTACCTTTAGCTCCTCAACATACTCTTCATATCTCTGTTACAATTCAGTGCATATACAGACTAATTACTGGACCAAATTCCTGTTAACAGGTCTAGTTCAAATTGGTTACTTTAAGAGAGCTCTGAGGGTAGTTTTATACAGAAACACAATTAGAAAGTACTTAAGGTCAGGAAGATTAAATTGGAACAATGTTAGTATGTGCCACAAAAATGAATGCTAAGCTTTGAGGGGACCAATTCAATACTGTTATCTGAGAAGTAGAAGATATGTATACTATACTGTTACTTTATTTTTGAAAAGTCAGCCTGCCTGTAAACAAATGGCTTGTGATTACTGATAGCTAGTGATCACCCAAAGTCTGAAAAAAAAGTACATTTTTTCCAAATTAGAATACAGTCAAATAGGAAAAGGCAATCACAAATTATGTATGCTGTCACCTAACAGAAACTGATACAGCAATTTGCTGTTCCTTACTATCTAAATACATAATGCTGAGCTATATCACAGCTGTGTTTCATAAACTTATTTTGTAGTATTATGCTGGACTTGTATGTGATTATCACTAGACTGTGTGACATGAAGCATAACAACGATATCTGCACATCAAAATCTGGTTTTAAATTGTTATTTTAATGGGAACTTCTACATAGTATAAGTGTACTACAGATTTAAAATACTATATTTATTATCTCTTAAATTATATTGTACGGTTAAATAAGGAAAATAATCTACATTGCTCTATTTTTATATAAAGCACACTATATACTACTTACCAAAGAGTTAATCAACATAACAAGACAGTTGTTCTGAAGTTCAGTAGGTAAACTGGCAAAACTTCTCTCTGACAAACATTTTGCAAAATGTTTTCCTACCCATCTGTTGAAAAGAGAGCCTTTCTTAGGTAAGGAAGATGAAAATGTTCTATCTTCACTTGTTAGCGTAAGTGATACCTCTAAATTATTGTGAAGACAAAAATGTTTAAAATGTGAACGTTTCATATGCCAAACTAAACCCAATCTCACAAAATAAAATAATTTCAACAGAAAGCAGAGAAATGAAAAACATAAACCATAATTTATTTTATTTTACTTACTTCATGCAAGCAGCATATAGGTTTTCGACTCCCAGTGTATGAGCAATAGCCATGCATTCTAGTACAGGCTGCTGTTTTCCAGGAACAGGCTAGAGTTGTTAGCAAATTATTACAATTATTGTACATTCTAATTTACAGAAACTGTCCAAAAGTACAAAATCTTCATTTCACACAGAAGTAGTTAGCTACCATGGTATTTGTTTGCCTTTATGCAGAATAGGCAAGTAAGTCCACCTGCTTCCACACATGTCAATAAAGTAGTATTCAGCCTAGTGGGCCTAATGCATGAACATGCTCAACTCTAAGCAGCTGGTTTTTTTTAAAAATAATTTTAATTGAACAGAATTATTTTCTACATATATGTCCATGAAATCTGATATGCAAATATATAGTATTTCCATATTCCTGTTAAGAACAATTACATATAAAATGGAATGTATTAAATTATACTCCATGTAATTTAATATATTGAATTGTGTGGAATACTGCTTTCCATCAGTTGTGGTTTACAAGTTTCTATACATAGGTGGATGATATCACAGGCCTTACTCCCATCATCAATCCCAGTAGATTTACACGTAAGAATAGGGTCCATTGACTTAAGAAAACACCTTGACCACACAGTTGTTAAGCATCTTGTCAATATGATGTGTAAGAATCAAAATTCATCTTAGGCTTTATGGCTCACAAAGTAGCATGAGAACCGACATACCTTTTGGAAAAAATTGCAGTAATCTCTTTTTAGAATGTAGATAGCTACTTCTTTCAGCCCATCTAGCCCATACATATCTGCAATGCCCAACATGCGACTAAAGAGAAAGCAGTGACAATAGGAATCAAAAATCATTGATACATGCATTTTGTTTACAAGACAATTTACATGCTAATTTCACCTCTTTGTTCAGTCAGAATTTACAGCAAAAATAGATTGATAACCAAGTGTGCAACTTGCCAATGAATAATCTTTGAACAAAAACATGTATTGACCTAATAATAATCTCCCAACCACTGAGGTCAGTCCGTATATAAGTAAGCCTCAGCCACTGGCTGAGAAACTGTTTAGAAGACTCTTGGTTTCTCTATTTTAAGGGCAGCAAGTGAATAAGGTATTTGTGCAGGCAGATTTTTGGCATTTTGTAGTTTTTTCCCAAGGATTATGTAAAATATTATTGATGACATTGTATCTGAGAATTATGTCCCTTCCAAATACTAAAAAACACGGTGAACAAACTATTAATTATTTTATATAATAAATACCATAGTTTTATTTGCTATATCAATTCATTACCTAAACATTGACATTGGGCATGTTATCTATCTAAAATAAAAATATGGAATTGTTTATAAGATTTGAACAATGATTTCTAACATTTAAGAAATTGTAGCATTTTAATATTTAGTGGCCGAGTTCAACAGCTAATATATAAATTGTTTCGGGGAATAATTCACACATTTCAGAACTTACTTCACTAATACAGGATTATGTATAACACTGTGATTAAAAACTATCCCACAAGAAAATGCCAACGTTTACAGTGGTTGCTATATATAATCTTTTATGGATCTAAGACTGACTACTTAGCTTTGCATCAACTTAAATGATTATTTAAAAATAAATACCAAATATTAACTGTTATACATTATGACACATTGAATGTATTATTCTGAGAACTAGAAAGAAGATATCCCAAACTGGGAATTATTTTGGTATAAAACACCCTCCTGGTTTTCACTCTCCTCAAATAATATTCCAAAAATGGCTGGCACAACTCTTCCAGTACCTGTCAACTAAACCAGATTTCAATATCTTTATTTCTGGAATTTCCTCAAGTAAGTTTAGGTGTAATGATCTTTATATTTGACATTTTTGTCTTCTTTACACTACATGAAGAATTTTCCTTTTGACTTTTAACTGAGAAAATACAGAACAAGCAGAAACTACAATTAAAAAATAATAAAAGTTGACATATACCCAACATCAACTTTGTCTGGGAAGTCCAGAATACCTCCATATATAAAATGCAAGATGACACTCATTTCTACATGGCTTATGCTGCAAAAAATGAAAGAAAAAAAAAAACACAAATAAAGACATGTCCGGAATAAAACACACCACATTTCTTAGCCAAAGGAAGATAATCAAAAGGCTGATACATCATCCAGCTGTTCTGTGAATGGAAGGTAAATGATCTGATAAAGCCATTTTCAAGATTACTGCAAGGTGAAAGTATCTAAACGGACTATATTTTGGGTTAATTTTGCTACTCAGTAGTTTTGCTGAAACTTTGTAATACTTTAAATCTTTGAAAATAAGTCATAAGCAGACTAATACTAGTATCTAAATTATTTACACTGATAATAAGCAGAAATGATTTTTTCATCAACTCCAAGCTCTTTACTAGTAATAAGTGAAATATTAAGCAACTCTATATTTAAACATTGTTTCATAATTTGTAATTCTTGATTTTATTATATATTTAAGCTTTTCCCACAGTAAAAATACATCTAATAGTTTTATTACAGTGCTAAGTAGGAATGTTGCATCTCAAAATATTTAGAAAAAGTCTTTATGCCTAGATTCAGGTTAAGAAATATGGAATTCCTACACAGAGTAGTGTTTGCATCCTTGTATTGTCCCAGCACTGTAATGCAGAAAGGCACAGAATGTCTATTTTAAATGGTAGACACAATCTCCTGAACAATACATTATTGTATTTATGTATGTACATCTCAGTGTGCAACCTTCAGAACCCACAAGTGCTGTGTACATTAGTATAAATATAGTCATTCAGATTGAGCTAAGACCCTTTAAAACATTAGACATTTTTAAGCAACAAACGTTGATGACTAAAAGCAAAAAACAAACGTTGCAATATGCTAAGAAGCAAAATCAGCACAGTTGTCCCTCTGTGTATTAGTACACAACAGCCATAAAATCAGCAAGGAAGAGTTTCCCCACAGTCTTGACAGCTGTTATCTGAGGCAGAATTTTCATTGTTTCAGAGTAAGCCATATGTACTTTATTTATAAAGACAGCATGGAAATCTGCATCAAGCAGAAAACTGAACTAGAAAAGGTAATATTATGGATATGGTTCTTAATAACAGAAATTATGAGACATTGGCATGAGAATATATTCCTATAAAGATCAAGAACTTTTCAGGAGAAAACATCTACTGAAAAATAAGGATGAAAATTTCTTAGCCATGTAGAAATAAATTACAGGGAGAGAAGTGTAAATTCCAGAGTAATTGTTGACTATCAGCCTCTAAAACATAGCATGTTTTAGATTCCTTGCTTAAAAGCTGAGGAATCAAAGTGTATTGTTTAATCAGGATTAGGAAGTTATAACCAAATCAACAGATAACCTTCCTGATTTTGCAGGAATATTATTAACTGACAGTAGACTGAAATGATGAAAATATCAGAAAGTATCACTTGGCCAAGCAGTATTATATTAACACAAAGCAATTATATTTTGCAGCACTGTAAGGTACACAGCTTTCTTCAGAAAGCTGAGTCAGCCAACATCATGCCTGAACAAAAAAGCTAAGATGTATAAGTACCAGTATTTGTTTGCTTTTAAAAAAATTTAATATATTTATATTTGATATATCAATATAATTGATTTTTCTGATAGTGAAAAGAAGTAACCTGGCACTCCCCAGTTTACCTATGAAGTCTTAAGTATTCACCCTACACTGATAGCTCCATTATTTTCAGCCCTCACACAGACAGCCATTGCAAACAAGCACACTAGTCAAAACTCTTTTAGTGTATGATGATGAAATATCAGTATTAAACACTATTTGAGAAATGTAATTGTTTATTTGTTTTTACATTGTAAATATACTCTTATTGTACCAATAGGTATGAAACTAAATTACTCTATTCAGACATTCATTAATACTTTTCATGACATGTACAACACGAGGTGAAAGAAGAGAATTGTAAAATAGACTGTGAATACTAAAACATACTCTACTAAAAAAGGATTAGTACCCTTCTGCTGATGAAAAAGACTTCTTCCCTGAACCATTTATTACCAATAGACTACACATGCTGTTTCATATCCAAGTCAAAACAGTGCTCAGGAAATGTATCAGGTTGAAGAAAAGTGTCAAGGCAGATTAATTTTCAGTGCTCTATACACAGCACAGTTGTTACATATTTGCAGAGATTTTAAATTGCCTACCTTTGCTCCCACACCACTTGCAAAGACAACACTTACCCTTGAAGAGTGATTTGCTCTTGGGAGCTTTCAGCCCAACTTCCACTCAGCATAGCAGTAAAGTAACTAGATCTGGCACACAAAATGGCCCTGAGAGAGAAAAAGTAAACATTATTCCACTAGATACAAATATTTATTATGAGACTCTTTGATAACATTGACTTAAATCTTTGCCCTTTATGCATTAAAGTGCCATCTGTATACTACTGCATGCCTTTTTTTTTTCCCAGTATGTTTGTAATTTCAAAATATGCTAGAGAAAAAAACCCAAACAATACTCTAAATTTCTCAGTTAAAGCTTGCTTCTAGTATGACTCTGACATTCACACAGAGGAAATCTATTATTACAAGCATTTTCCTTTTATATAATATAAAATTGAAGATTTATTTCTTCTCTTTTATTTACCAAATAACAGTAAATAACCTTGTTTATACAGCCCCATTTTAGCCAAATAATTATATCCCAAATCTCTTAAATTCTTGTTATACAACAAAATGTGTATTTATTAAAATGAAAAGAGAAGTATAAAGCTTCTCTTTTTTCGAAATTGGCTGGTCACTTACCAGCACATCCTAAAAGTCAAACAAGTGTGATACTAACGTATGATACAACAAAATGATGTGTGTTTCCAGCACTGCTTAAGAAGAGCTATCAATTACTTCTGATTTATTACTCTTGTATATTTAAAAGGCATAACTGTCCATAAAGGGACTAATTTGATTTACTGCTATTTCCATCACAGACAATAAAGGAACCCCAGACCAATAGTCTGTGTAGCTCAGTATCTTCACCAGCATCCCAATCCTCAAAAAAACAGATGAGAAGACCTTTGCAATACGAGCTTCTTAAGGTGGAAATGGAATGGCAAAAAGGAAGAGAAGACAGTGGATGACAACTCCTTTATGATTTCAGCCTTCCAGAGTTACACCAGTTATAGTGTTAGCCTTCACATCTCTTATCTGGGCTATTGCAGCCGTAGATAACATTCTCATACATACAATTCTTTCCTGTCACTTACTAAGCTTCCTATTACTTATAAAATTACTTTATATATTTCCTGCAGCAGAAAAAGCAAAGTTTTATATCAGGCATGAGAATCCCTTCTTTTACATGTATTTGTTGGCTCTTAAACTGTTTCAGGCACTCTCATTTTGTGTAGGAAGAAGTACGAAGAATGATATTTATGGTCTCTTTTCTAGTCACTATATATTCTGGAACCTCTCATCTCTATTCCCTCCTCCTGCTTCAGAAGTCTCAATCCTTTAAATTAGGAGCTTCTTGCACATTCCTCCTGTGATTCATCCAGCAATAACAACAACAGACCTTTTACATAATGTTTCATACCTCAGTGAAATATATCCACATGTAAATGGATATCACCTCACAACTTCGAGTATGTGAAATTCTGAATACACACACAATCTTGTTTTTATAAGATACAGTAGCACAGTATCATGAAGATAAGAAACACACTATCTCCAATTTTGTCATCCTCTTCTAAATAAATTTTAGTAATGAACCGGGCTAGATCAACTTCAAGGGCATAGTTGAAGTGGATATTTCAAAGACTTGTTTTAAATAATATGGACAAGTACCTATTACCTAAATATATACTGATAACATTTTAACTTATAAAATATGTGGTGATACCAAATTAATTTGAAGTAAATTTATCTGTGCTTTCCTGCTGCAATGGTTTGTGCCACAAGTTTTTTAGTGGATAAATTTGACTTGCTCCACTCAGAGCTCTGTAAGAATACACTACAGCACTAGGGATAAATAACTTGGCAACTCTCTCAGAGCATAGATGTTCACACTGTAGTCTATTGGAAGTTCACAGGACCTCGTAAGAAAATAAGGAATACTGAGATAAGTGGGTGGGAGAGGGTGCAGGCTTAAACTGTCTCCTGTTTGAGAACTTCAGAAAAACCCCTTAAAATAAGTAAACCATACTGGTGCTTTCACCACAATTATACCCAAAATTAGATTTCCCTTTTTAACTTCTGCTGTTCACATGATACAGTACTAAAACAAGGAAGTCTTGTGCCCATTGCAGAACATCCTTGTTTTCTCTATGATTTACTGCCATATTTTTTGATGCTGGTTAGAGTAGATACATTGCTTCAGGCAGTAAGTGGTCTAAATTAAAAGAGCTCTGCTGATGGAATATTTTTGTTGACTTTCTTTTTGTATTGAAGTATTTGTTTCTCAAAGTTATGGACCCAAGAACATGTATTCTTATAGTGTAGACCAGAAGAAACAAACATGCCTAACTACACTACATTCTGGAAATTTAATATATATCTTAATTCTATTATTTAAAAAAATGAATTACTCCCTCCCACACACACTATTATGACATACTTCTTGTAAAGATATTTGTAATGTCAGTAATATAACCCCCCAACCTGGTTTTGTGTTGAGAAAAACTAAAAGTAGTGGAAGGCTTTTATAATTCCTTTGTTATTTATATACTCAAATGGAACAACATAGAGGCTGTCTAGTTTGCTATCTGAAATACAAACAGACTCATAACAAAGGTATGACAAATGGTACTGACACTTTAATTTGCTTTCTCAAGCTACAGAAGTCCAATAAGCCAAAGTTCTTAAATGGTCTTGGACTTTAGAACTAATAAAGGCTGCTGACAATCTTTACATCTACGTGACTGAAGTAATGAAAGTAAAATCAGATTCTATATGCACAGATCCCAAAGAGCAGGAAAAAAAATTATATAATTACTACTTCAGAATTTTTTACCTGCATGGTAATATTATTCAGCATTAATAGCTGAATAGTTTATTAATAGATTTTCTATTTTCTTCAGAGAGCACATATTATTTTAAAAAAGGTTAGCAAAGAAAACCTACACAGTATTTATACATGAGTATATACTCATGATATGAGTTTACAATGGCAATCTTGGAAGTGCTTAAAACCACAATTGTTTTCACAATAGTTGCTGTTAATGAGATAAATAATTTTCATTAGTATCAAAGCGTGGCCACTAAGACCTAAAAACTGTAACAGTTCACAGCTAGATAACAGCACCAGTAATAATTTGCTATAGATACACTGTACCAGTAGTGGTTTACAGTAAAAGGATTTTGGTTGAAAAACTTTACAGTGAATACTTATGTACCTGTGAGCTTGAAAATTTTTGTCTTCTATGCAAATATTAATATCTGGACAACAGCACTTTTTGTAGAGCATCATTAAGTCTTCTCCTAACACAGATGCAGTTTCTAGTTTGGAAATACCTGCAGATGGAGAGAAATAGCTATTTTTCACTTTGTCCAGTGTAGGCTAGACTATTGAGAGTACACAGGCAATTTAAAATATTTGAAAAGAAGAATCTGACATAATTAAATTAAATAATATTCAAGCTAGAATTTGACTTAAAAGGTTTTCCAGATCTTGCATTTTACTTCTTGTTTTGACTTGAGATACCAGAAATTTGACGAATCTTCCATAGATATAAAATCTGAAGCAAGTGCTACCGTTATACTCTTTTGTAAGATTATGTAACCAGTTCATTTTTTCTACAGACATCCGGCACTTCTGCATTAAAGTAGACTCTGAAAATGTTCTGGGTCATGTAGCATTACAAGCTTCTGCCTAAACAGATTTGTTGCTTGATCCTATCTTAATGACACAGCTGTAGCAGCCAACACCTCTGGTGTAGATGCACTTATACATTTCTCGTGTTAATTATTTCATTCACAGTTGTAGTAGGGAAGATTCTGAAGGATTCCCAAATCCTCATAAAACAACAGTGGAACTAGTGTAATTTGCTAGAAAAAGGAAAGGAATAGAGAGATTCTGATCTATGGAAGTCCCGGGTGGTGAGGACTCAGGATTAGCTGTATTACAGAGAAAAGACGGGACACAATACCCAGGAACACGCCTGATGCCTGGCAAGTCCTGTCAGACTCATTACGCTGTATGCTGGCTGTGAACCACTCCTGCCAAACTTCTGCAGCAATTCATTTTTTCTAAGTGTGAGAGAATGAGGTATGCCATAGCAAAGAATATCCATGTAAGCTGTGTTATAACAATAGCTTTAATCATTGCCTGCACTTTTACATCAAAGTCTTTGGAAAATTCTTTAAAAGAAAAAAAAAAAAAAACAAAAACAAATAAACAAAAGTATAGCTTCAACACCTACCTGCAGTGCCTTTGTTGCTTTCTGCATCAACGACTACTTCTGGCATTTCCTTTTCAATACAAGATGAGCAAGCAACTTCTTTCTGCACAGCTCCACTTGGAGTATTCTGACCGACAGGTGCTCTTTTGCCATCTCCAAGACAATTTACATTTGTCTGAGTGTTCCGAAGAGTAGCAGTATTTTCTTGTAATACTTTGGGTTCCAACACTTTTTTCATCATAGCCAACTCCTCAGCTTCTTTAAGATTTTTATCAGACGAATATACAAGCCTAGAAGATGACACTTAGTTTACTCCAGTAATTTTTTAACTGATCAAAACAAATAAAAAATGACATCTTTTTGTCTAACAAATTTCATGACCAAAACCCAAAAGCTGGACTCTACAGTGCTTAATAATAAAAAAACCTTTTTAAAACTGTATCTCTGGAAAACTTATTTCTGCAATGCTTGAAAAAGCATAAATCACAGAATGATTTGGCTTGGAAGATCACTTAGTTCCAACCCCCCTGCCACAGGCAGGGACACCTTCCACCAGACCAGGTTGCCCCAAGCCCCTTCCAACCTGGCCTTGAACCCTGCCAGGGAGGGGGCAGCCACAGCTGCTCTGGGCAGCCTGTGCCAGGGTCTCAACACCCTCACAGGAAAGTATTTCTTCCTTACATCTCATCTGAATCTGTCCTCTTTCATTTTAAAACCATCACCCCTTGTCCTATCCCTACACTCCCTGACATAGTCCCTCCCCACCTTTCCTGCAGTCCCCATTAAGTACTGGCAGGCTGCTATAAGGTCTCCCTGGAGCCTTCTCTTCTCCAGGCTGAAAACTCCTAACTCTCTCAGCCTGCCTTTATAAGGGAGGTGCTCCAGCCCCCTGATCATCTTCGTGGCCTCCTCTGGACCCGCTCGAGCAGGTCCATGTCCTTCTGATGCCGGGAGCCCCAGAACTGGACACAACACTGCAAGCAAGGTCTCATGAGAGTAGAGTAGAGGGGGAGAATCACCAACCTCGACCTGCTGGCCACCCTTCTCTTGATGCAGCCCAGGATGCACATTGCCAGGTCATGTTGAGCTTTTCATCAATCAACACATCCAAGTCCTTGCTTGTCCATAAACAAGCATTACAAATAAAATATCAGATTAAAAGGAACAAAGGTTTCTCTCCCTCACTTTGCTTTTTTAATTAAAACTTTGTTTGCTCTTTATAGCTCATCTAGTGGCTACAGCAGAAGCAAGCTGTATCAGTAATGACAGATGACCAATTTATAAATCTTAGTATGACCAAGAAAAGACATTTGACTGTCCTTTACTATCATCAAATTTACAAACCTCAAAATATAAAAACCTTCTAATATCAAGGTTACAAGTACAAAATCATAAGAATGGTGTAGGGTTATAAATAAATAGTACTAGAAATAAAAATTTTAATTTCAAAGGAAGTGCTTGAAAGCATGAAAATTTGCAGTTAAGATTACCCAAGTGCTTTCACTTTGCCCATATAGTAATTCCAGCTTCCCACTTTCCCATCTGTTTCACCAGCTTATTTTTGGCTCAAGATCTGGAAAGGCTAACAAAGCCTGCAGTCTGTGACTGCAAAGATCTTGTATTTATAGAAAGATACTGCACTCCAGCAAATTAATGGAGCCTTAAAACGTCAGTGTGAGCACTTAACATGCTATATCAGTGATTTCATACCATATCCATGAAGTTAGCAAAGTTTAACAGAAGAGCTACAGTTAGTTTGGATTTAGCAGACATGTCCTTACAGATCTGCATTTAGTCACTCATTCCATGGCAAAGAGGCTTTATTGTTAATACTGGGAACATAGTAATTTGAGTATGCTATTTGAACACTGTCCTCTAAAGGGTCAGAAAAAAACAAGAAATCATCTTCCTTCTGAAGTCCTGTATCGAAATGATTGAGTTAGGCAGAATTTTTTCATCTGGGTGATACAGATTCTCACCAAGAGAGAATGACAAGAAACAAGAACGTAGGGAATGGAAATTTTAGTATTTTAATAAATTTTGAAAGCAAGGGTCAGGAAAATGTGTGACAGGAGTAATAAAATTTCATATTGAAAGAATAAGATTGATGGACCCTCTTTACATGGGTTTAAAGGTGTTATATGTGTATGTGCTTTCAGAACTCCCAGCCTGTGAACTTGGCCTGATCATCTATTGCTTTTCATATTTACAGTGCTTTCCAACCCAGTGTAACAATAGCATGAGGGAAAGACAAGTAATAACATGCTATATTACCAAGAACAGGACCACAGGTTGCTTGCTAGAGCAGGGAGACTTTGAAATTCTTTAGAAAATTCAAGACTCTGTCTTCCACATTTTCCCTATTCACTATGGAATTAACCTAGAGATTCAAAATTCCACAGAAGTATTCTGAAGTTTTGTCTTCAAGTTGTTTCTCCACATTGGATATTCCAAATATCACTTAGTCACAGACAATGCCACCACTAGACAAAAATCTAACCATTCTCACTTTATTTCTGCATTTTCACCAGATGTAAGCAAATACCACAATTACAGAATTAAAATGGTAACACATACTGAATGTGAAAAACTGAAGGAAGACCCCTAGGTAATGGTTTGTTGAAAGAAAATTGCCATTTATGACGTTAAGTTAAATTTGCACTGGAACTTTATTTTCTCACCTTTCTGTTGCATATTCAACATGTAAAGACAATACAAATTGACTTTGAGGGAGAAAGAAAATTAGTGGCAACAGATACACTGCTTTGCCATAAATTCATTATTTTAATATTCTTGCTTACTTTCTGCCAGTAACTGAAACACATATTCATAGGGAATCTGATAAACTAAGCAATGAGGCAACAATCTCCTGGGAATCCTCAGGGTATTTTCAGATAATCAGCATAAGAAACCTCAGCAATGCAATTCTGTTATCACCAGGCTTAAGTCAATAAAAATGGCATCCTTACCACAACTAGGAATTCTGTAAATAAAAGAAGTAGCATGTTGTTAAATCAGCACTAAGTAACCAGTTTATAGATCTGAAAAAGTTATTCTATCTGAAATAAGTTTTTTCCTGTAAAAAGTCAAGGAACCTTCATTACTTCAGTTAATGTTTAAAATCTAGTCACTGTCCCGGATTTATTACTTCCAGAAACTCAGCAGAATATCTGTATATTAGAGTCCTGCTTAATACAGACTATAAATTTACTACTTTGAAAGACTCATGGAAGCATCCATTATTCTGCTTCACAGGCAGCAACAATGATTTTGGCATATCTTTTAGAAATTTTCCTTTATCTCAGTTAAATCCCATTAGATGTTCCTTCCAGAATAGAAGATTCTCTGGTTTTTAAAACCTGCTATAGAAGAATTTGCTTGGCAACACCCTTTATTTTACAGGCTCATTTCTAAAGGCAGAATGAAGTTTTCTAGTGTCTTTCTACAGAGTATCAAATGGCAGCCTTCCAGCATAAATAAAAGCTAGGGAAATCTTTCGTCCACAGCAAAATGCATAGCTTAGACCTTGGAGCTCAGATGTTTTAGTGATAATGTAAAACCATCTCTTTAAAACACAGCTGCTATAAGAAACCAGGACCCCTTACTGCAGAATTATGATAGGAACAGTTTTTACTGTTCCAAACCTCGTGAGTAGGCATCATTGGATGTGACACCTTGGTTTAGTAAGTTGCAGTGCAGAAGACTACAATTCTATGAAGTTACAAATGGCTTCTTTAAATCAGATAGGGTTATCATCAGGAGGACTTACAGCTTAACCAGTTTTGAATGAAGTTAAGTACTTATTTACAAGAAAGCATTTTCCACAGTCATCTGAACAATCTAAGAATGCATAAAAATGCTCCAGTTCTAACATCCCTAATGAAAGTACTAGACTGTACTTGCTGTGACCAAGCAGTTACCTAGAACATATAAGAAGTATGGAGTTATTTTGGTTTTATAACAACTCATAGCCTACACAGACATCTCAAAATGCAGTCTGAAGAAAAGCATGTACTTTGTGGGTAGCTGTAAAGTACTAAGAAAATGCTAAGTAGCCCAACCAAACTTACTTATGCGCATGTAAAGATTTCATTCACAGCTTTGTTTTTAAAGGTGTCCAGAAGTTTTATCTCCTCTCATTCCAAATGAGTTTGGCTAAATTCTTTGGGAAGTTTCTCAGCCTTAGAGCTCTCTTTAAGGCTCACCTACTTCTTTCAATTGTAGATGCACGATTCCACACAGTCTTGAAAACTGTACAGTCTCATAAGAGGAACAATCATGCAATTCTGTTCTCAGAACAGCCACAGAGCCAATCATGACTAGAATCAGTAAGACATTTTTATGCTTACTAAAAGTATACAGATCACGATTGCAAAAAAATCCTAATATTTGGGTTGAAAAAGAATTTTGAGTTATGATCCACTTCTTCGGTTCTTCAAGTCAAGAGCTACATTTCCTTACTGTGGGCCATGCCCACTGTCTGAAAGACTGACAAAATCCCAAACAGAAATGTTGTATGCCAATAATGACCCTGGAGACAATACAAGTAACAAGGGAAATGAGAAGGCACATTTTATTTTCATGAAATACCATATTTAAAAACATGAAGAATCCATTTTTGTTGTTATTTTGAAGAACACTGAAAGCCACTGTTAGGACAGCTTCTCCCATTGTCCCAGAGTAGTTGTTAACCAAATCAATACAAATTCTCAACTAATTAGGCATCCACTTGCTCTGAGTGAGAGTTCTTCGCTGAGAGCCCATCTGGAAAAGTTACCTCCCATCTTCTCTCACCCATATTCTCCTTAAAGTTATATGTATGCACACATCACTGATGGCACTAGAGAAGTGCTTTTGAGTTCTTAGCCACTAGCTGTTTAAACAGACAAGATCTTGTACATGCTGTTATGGACATGTTGCATATATGCCCAGATTTGCAGAGCATTAGTAAAGAGATTACAAAGGAGGCTTGAACAAAAGCCATTGATGCCAGGGGAGAGGATTTTTTTTTTTCCTATCTTGATGTCTTTCTGATAGCAACACAGACTGTTAATGCTAAAGTCTATTGGAAACTTAGCCATCATAAATCCTATGGATAGCAAGAAGCTTTCAGCACAAAAGTCTGACATGTGAAAGCAGGAAATTCTGCTGTTTGACAGTGCACCAATTTAATTGCCCTGAAAAAAAAAAAACAAACTATGGTAACATTAGAATATAGTGACAAGTACAGATGCCCAAGACAGGATACTTGGTAGTGTAGGGGTAATACAATTAATGAAAGAAGACGAAA